TAAGGTTTTTCCTAGTGTTGAAAGTGTCTGAGTGTTTAAGCTGTCCTACGTGTTAAAGTGTCTGAAGTGTTTTAGTGCCTAGTGTTTAAAGTGTCTGAGTGTTTAAGTGTCTAGGTGTTAAAGTGTCTGAGTTGTTGTAAGTGCCTAGTGTTAAAGTGTCACTGAGTGTTTGTACGTGCCTACTGTTTAAAGTGTCTGAGTGTTTATTGTAGAGTGTCCATAGTGTTTAAAGTGGTCTGAGGTGTTTTAAGTGTTTAAGTGTCCTAGTGTTAAAGTGTCTGAGTGTTTAAGTGTCCTAGTGTTAAAAGTGTCTGAGTGTTTAAGTGTCCTAGTGTTAAAGTGTCTGAGTGTTTAAGTGTCCTAGTGTTAAGTGTCTGAGTGTTTTAGTGTCCTAGTGTTTAAGTGTCCTAGTGTTAAAGTGTCTGAGTGTTTAAGTGTCCTAGTGTTAAAGTGTCTGAGTGTTTAAATGTCCTAGTGTTTTAGTGTCCTAGTGTTAAAGTGTCTGAGTGTTTAAGTGTCCTAGTGTTAAAGTGTCTGAGTGTTTAAGTGTCCTAGTGTTAAAGTGTCTGAGTGTTTACGTGTCCTAGTGTTAAAGTGTCCTGAGTGTTTAGTGTCCTAGTGTTAAAGTGTCTGAGTGTTTTAGTGTCCTAGTGTTAAAGTGTTTAAATGTCCTAGTGTTAAAGTGTCTGAGTGTTTTTAGTGTCCTAGTGTTAAAGTGTCTGAGTGTTTAAATGTCCCTAGTGTTTTAGTGTCTAGTGTTAAAGTGTCTGAGTGTTTAAATGTCCTAGTGTTAAAGTGTTTAAGTGTCCTAGTGTTAAAGTGTCTGAGTGTTTAAATGTCCTAGTGTTTTAGTGTCCTAGTGTTAAAGTGTCTGAGTGTTTAAATGTCCTAGTGTTAAAGTGTCTGAGTGTTTAAATGTCCTAGTGTTTAAGTGTCCTAGTGTTTAAATGTCCTAGTGTTAAAGTGTTTTAGTGTCCTAGTGTTAAAGTGTCTGAGTGTTTAAATGTCCTAGTGTTTAAGTGTCTGAGTGTTTAAATGTCCTAGTGTTTTAGTGTCCTAGTGTTAAAGTGTCTGAGTGTTTAAATGTCCTAGTGTTTAAAGTGTTTTAGTGTCCTAGTGTTAAAGTGTCTGAGTGTTTAAATGTCCTAGTGTTTAAGTGTCCTAGTGTTTAAATGTCCTAGTGTTTAAATGTCCTAGTGTTTTAGTGTCCTAGTGTTAAAGTGTCTGAGTGTTTAAATGTCCTAGTGTTTAAGTGTCCTAGTGTTAAAGTGTCCTAGTGTTAAAGTGTCCTAGTGTTTAAATGTCCTAGTGTTAAAGTGTTTTAGTGTCCTAGTGTTAAAGTGTCCTAGTGTTTAAATGTCCTAGTGTTAAAGTGTTTTAGTGTCCTAGTGTTAAAGGCGAATCAATGTTTTTCTCTTAATTCCGTACGCCCAAGTTTCCGAGTTTCTTTGAGTGTCCTAGTGTTAAAGTGTCCTAGTGTTAAAGTGTCCTAGTGTTAGAGTGTCCTAGTGTCCTAGTGTTTAAGTGTTAGAGTGTCCTAGTGTTAGAGTGTCCTAGTGTTAGAGTGTCCTAGTGTTAAAGTGTGTTAGTGTTAAAGTGTGTTAGTGTTAGAGTGTCTGAGTGTTTAAGTGTCCTAGTGTTAGTGTCCTAGTGTTTAAGTGTCCTAGTGTTAGTGTCCTAGTGTTTAAGTGTCCTAGTGTTAGTGTCCTAGTGTTAGAGTGTCCTAGTGTTTAAGTGTCCTAGTGTTAGTGTCCTAGTGTTAGTGTCCTAGTGTTAAAGTGTTTAGTGTCCTAGTGTTAAAGTGTCTGAGTGTTTAAATGTCCTAGTGTTTTAGTGTCCTAGTGTTAAAGTGTCTGAGTGTTTAAGTGTCCTAGTGTCCTAGTGTTAAAGTGTCTGAGTGTTTAAGTGTCCTAGTGTTAAAGTGTCTGAGTGTTTAAGTGTCCTAGTGTTAAAGTGTCTGAGTGTTTAAGTGTCCTAGTGTTAAAGTGTCTGAGTGTTTAAGTGTCCTAGTGTTAAAGTGTCTGAGTGTTTAAGTGTCCTAGTGTTAAAGTGTCTGAGTGTTTTAGTGTCCTAGTGTTAAAGTGTCTGAGTGTTTAAGTGTCCTAGTGTTAAAGTGTCTGAGTGTTTTAGTGTCCTAGTGTTAAAGTGTCTGAGTGTTTTAGTGTCCTAGTGTTAAAGTGTCTGAGTGTTTAAGTGTCCTAGTGTTAAAGTGTCTGAGTGTTTAAGTGTCCTAGTGTTTAAGTGGTCTCGTGTTTTAGTAAGTGTCTGAGTGTTTAGTGTCCTAGTGTTAAAGTGTCTGAGTGTTTAAGTGTCCTAGTGTTAAAGTGTCTGAGTGTTTAAGTGTCCTAGTGTTAAAGTGTCTGAGTGTTTTAGTGTCTGAGTGTTTAAGTGTCCTAGTGTTAAAGTGTCTGAGTGTTTAAGTGTCCTAGTGTTAAAGTGTCTGAGTGTTTAAGTGTCCTAGTGTTAAAGTGTCTGAGTGTTTAAGTGTCCTAGTGTTAAAGTGTCTGAGTGTTTAAGTGTCCTAGTGTTAAAGTGTCTGAGTGTTTTAGTGTCCTAGTGTTTAAGTGTCCTAGTGTTAAAGTGTCTGAGTGTTTAAGTGTCCTAGTGTTAAAGTGTCTGAGTGTTTAAATGTCCTAGTGTTTTAGTGTCCTAGTGTTTAAAGTGTCTGAGTGTTTAAGTGTCCTAGTGTTAAAGTGTCTGAGTGTTTAAGTGTCCTAGTGTTAAAGTGTCTGAGTGTTTACGTGTCCTAGTGTTAAAGTGTCTGAGTGTTTAAGTGTCCTAGTGTTAAAGTGTCTGAGTGTTTTAGTGTCCTAGTGTTAAAGTGTTTAAATGTCCTAGTGTTAAAGTGTCTGAGTGTTTTAGTGTCCTAGTGTTAAAGTGTCTGAGTGTTTAAATGTCCTAGTGTTTTAGTGTCCTAGTGTTAAAGTGTCTGAGTGTTTAAATGTCCTAGTGTTTAAGTGTCCTAGTGTTAAAGTGTCTGAGTGTTTAAATGTCCTAGTGTTTTAGTGTCCTAGTGTTAAAGTGTCTGAGTGTTTAAATGTCCTAGTGTTAAAGTGTTTTAGTGTCCTAGTGTTAAAGTGTCTGAGTGTTTAAATGTCCTAGTGTTTAAGTGTCCTAGTGTTTAAATGTCCTAGTGTTAAAGTGTTTTAGTGTCCTAGTGTTAAAGTGTCTGAGTGTTTAAATGTCCTAGTGTTTAAGTGTCTGAGTGTTTAAATGTCCTAGTGTTTTAGTGTCCTAGTGTTAAAGTGTCCTGAGTGTTTAAATGTCCTAGTGTTAAAGTGTTTTAGTGTCCTAGTGTTAAAGTGTCTGAGTGTTTAAATGTCCTAGTGTTAAAGTGTCCTAGTGTTTAAATGTCCTAGTGTTAAAGTGTTTTAGTGTCCTAGTGTTAAAGTGTCCTAGTGTTTAAATGTCCTAGTGTTAAAGTGTTTTAGTGTCCTAGTGTTAAAGGCGAATCAATGTTTTTCTCTTAATTCCGTACGCCCAAGTTTCCGAGTTTCTTTGATTGTGTTTTAAAGTTTATTAATGAATAAACGATAATAAATATTACATGTTGATAAACCTTTTTTAATGAAGAAACCAATTAATTGTTAAAAGACAAAAAATATATATTTTCACAATAAAACACTGCAATGAACTGGAAATAAACAAATAAACAATGTTTGTATTTCACCACTTCAATAATCAACAGTAAAATATTAACAGCTCATTAACTCACACTTTGACGAGTGTCTTTGGCTTTCTCCTTTTCCAATCCTCTTCAATAATAATACAAATAATAATAACAATAACATTTCGCTTGAATCATTTCTTTCATATATGTCAACATCATCAGGGATTCTTGCACAGACTGAGCTATAACAATAGAAAGGTATGAACACACAGGTATGAACACACAGGTATGAACACACAGGTATGAACACACAGGTATGAACACACAGCTACAGGGGCGGCGCCAGGGGGTAGCTTGGAGTTGCTATAGCAACTCCAACAATTGGCCTAGCAACGGCTTAGCAACCCCATTGTTTTGTTATGAAAATGCATCTATATATATTTATACATATTCTCGCGAGATCTATCAGGGGTCGTTGTAAGTTAAAGCGCAAACTGTTACTTGGCTAATGTTGTTATAATTCTCAGTATGTGAACACAGATCGAAAATGGAAAGATTTCTCACAAGTCAGCGTAAACGACCGCGATCTCCAACGGAGCCGGTCCAGCCGGACAACCCTGTGTGTGTGTGTGTGTGTGTGTGTGTGTGTGTGTGTGTGTGTGTGTGTCTGTCTGTTTGCGGTGTGGTGATGAGGTTAAATGCCACAGCATGCCAGTTGAAACAGTGAACGATTGCTATTGTGTACTTGTACGCTTAGGGTGTAATGGTATTATACAAAAATATTGTAGGAGCACAGAAACAGTGTTCAAATTCTGCTTCAAGACTCCACGGTCTTAAAATCCCCACAAAGCTTTGCGCACGGACCAATTTCCCCAAATCTGTGGCGGAAGATGTAAGGAGGCGGGGCCTCTCATATGACGCACACTTGCTCGCCTGTTCCACTCTTCGTTTTCCGAATGCCAGGAAGTATTCTTGACTCGCTTCTGAAGCAAGTGACTCGGAAGACATGTGCTACCAAGCAAGCGTACTCGACATTGAGAAACACCCTCTGAGTCCCGCAGGAAGTCTCTGAGTCCTACAGGAAGTCTCTGAGTCCTACAGGAAGTCTCTGAGTCCTACAGGAAGTCTCTGAGTCCTCAGGAAGTCTCTGAGTCCTACAGGAAGTCTCTGAGTCCTACAGGAAGTCTCTGAGTCCTACAGGAAGTCTCTGAGTCCTCAGGAAGTCTCTGAGTCCTACAGGAAGTCTTTGAGTCCTACAGGAAGTCTCTGAGTCCTCAGGAAGTCTCTGAGTCCTACAGGAAGTCTCTGAGTCCTACAGGAAGTCTCTGAGTCCTACAGGAAGTCTCTGAGTCCTACAGGAAGTCTCTGAGTCCTCAGGAAGTCTCTGACTCCTCAGGAAGTCTATGAGTCCTGCAGGAAGTCTCTGGTTTAAGAGCAGCCGCACTCGTCCACGATCATGTTCTGGATGTCCTTCTTGATGATCTTCTGCTCCTCGTTGTAGTACAGCATGGACATGGCTCTGAGCCGGGTGGGGACGCAGCAGGACCGGATGTTCTGGAAGGGCCCGTGGCCGCGCATGCGGTAGTGGTTGATGACGGTGGAGTGGAAGGACAGCGCCGAGCCGCTGAAGCTCGACATGTGGTTTGGACATTCTCCCTCGCAGTAGTTGGCGTGGTAACCGGACGGTGCGATGATCCAGTCGTTCCAGCCAATGTCTTTGAAGTTTACGTAGAACTGACGTTTGCAGCAGACGCGGATCTTCCCGTCGCATTCCAGCCCGCGTCTGACCCGCCGCTGCGCCGCCTCCTCTACAGTTCGCAGCGCCACCATGAGGAAGGGTCGGTGGGACTGGTCCCGCCCTCCGGCCCGCTCGCTGGCCATCAGCACCGCTGTGGCTCCGGCCTCGCTGCAGAGCGGACAGACGACCCGCAGCCTCAGCGCTCCGCCGCCGCCCGACAGCAGAGTCTGGATGCTGTGAGACACGGCGAGCGTGTGCCAGCCGCTGCGACGGACGTCCACCATCTTATCCGAAACACACTCCTCTTCCTCACCCTCCTGATGAAGCTGCAGCGACACTTTGCCTTTCCATCGGGTTCCCTTCGAAATCTTCAGGAAGATCCAGATGTTGGCCTGTTCCACCACCGCTGAGCCGCCCTCTGCTGAAAGGTTGAAGGTCACGGAGTTCAGAGAGCCTCCTGCAGGGGGAGCACAACAACAGCTTCAGATTATTAACTCACAGCCACTGATGAACATGTTTCTACTTCCCCTCACTTCCCCTCTCTGAGTCAGAGTAAACCCTGAGCTGAGTCTTACAGGTGCAGCCTGCAGGTCTCTGTCTCTGCTCCTTTATAAACTCCTTTTGGCGGCAGTGGCTCAGTCTGTAGGGACTTGGTCTTGGAACCGAAGGGTCGCCGGTTCACGTCCCGACTGAACCAAAACAAATATAGTAAGCTGGCAGCTGGAGAGGTGCCAGTTCACCTCCTGGGCCACTGCCGAGGTGCCACTGATCAAGGCATCTAACCTTGAAACTGCTCCCTGGCGCCGGGTACCTGGCAGCCTCTCTGCTCTGCCACCTCTCCTATCTGCATGTGGTTGTGTTTGTGCATGTATACCCTCTGTGTGTAATGTGTAAACACAACAGAGTGGAGAAAGAAATGTCACACTCCATCTGTGAGGGATTCATAAAGTATGTCTTCTTCTTCTAAACTCAGACATCTCTGCAGAATTTATATACAAATCATAATATTATTAATAATTGATCATAGAGAAACTGACATCTTGATGATAATTAATGATGAAATAAAGAATTTGTGAACTTGTTGAATTTGTCTGGAGGAGGCGACCCCCCCCCCCCCCCTCTTTGTGTCTGAATGAATGGACAAAGACATGTCGTTAACAGAAACAGCATGAACAGAGCTGCCTCTAAATATACCCAATATGAGCAGAGACACTAAAAAAAGACCTGGTTTCAGGGAATGTTGTTAACAAGGACAGACACACACACACACACACTTTGTTTCCTGAATAATTACTGAGGCCCAGTTTGTTTGAATGGGGAGATTATTTACGGCCTGAGACCACTCGGTATGCCCCCCCCCCCCGTTACTGTCCCCTAATTTCGGCGAGCCTTTGAGAGAGGTTTTAATGAAATACTCTTCTCAGAGAGGAAACTATTTATAGCACAAACACATTCTGTACATTTATGTAAGCAAACAAGCCGGGGGCTATGTGATTGGTCAGTAAATGTTCATAAAAGCAGACCCTAACATCATCACGTTTATTAAAGAATTTTATTTTGAAAATCTCTTTCAGTGAGACCTGTTGTATGAACGAATGAAATCATGGAGGGTTGCAGATGAACTCAAAAGACTTTCTTCTGTCGGCCAATATTACTAAATCACCTCCACAGTCTGAGATGATGAACCCTAACACAGACTGTTAGAATAAACAGAACCAGACTGAGTGAGGAAATCTGTAAACAAACTCTGACCTCTTTTTGTGAATGAGCTGATAACAGAGCGCACAGATAAAGGTCTCTAAAGCAGCTGATGGTCAGAGTCTGAGTCAACGCAACCACTAAACTCTAGCTCTGCAACCACTGACTCTGCAACCACTAACTCTGCAACCACTGACTCTGCAACCACTGACTCTGCAACCGCTGACTCTGCAACCGCTAACTCTGCAACCACTAACTCTGCAATCACTGACTCTGCAACCACTAACTCTGCAACCACTGACTCTGCAACCACTAACTCTGCAACCACTAACTCTGCAACCACTGACTCTGAAACCGCTAACTCTGCAACCACTAACTCTGCAACCACTGACTCTGCAACCACTAACTCTGCAACCACTAACTCTGCAACCACTGACTCTGCAACCACTAACTCTGCAACCACTAACTCTGCAACCACTAACTCTGCAACCACTGACTCTGCAACCACTAACTCTGCAACCACTGACTCTGCAACCGCTAACTCTGCAACCACTGACTCTGCAACCGCTAACTCTGCAACCGCTAACTCTGCAACCGCTACCTCTGCAACCACTGACTCTGCAACCGCTGACTCTGCAACCGCTAACTCAGCAACCGCTAACTCTGCAACCACTGACTCTGCAACCGCTAACTCTGCAACCACTAACTCTGCAACCACTGACTCTGCAACCACTGACTCTGCAACCACTAACTCTGCAACCACTGACTCTGCAACCACTAACTCTGCAACCACTGACTCTGCAACCACTGACTCTGCAACCACTAACTCTGCAACCACTGACTCTGCAACCGCTAACTCTGCAACCACTGACTCTGCAACCACTGACTCTGCAACCACTAACTCTGCAACCACTGACTCTGCAACCACTAACTCTGAAACCACTGACTCTGAAACCACTGACTCTGCAACCGCTAACTCTGCAACCACTAACTCTGAAACCACTAACTCTGCAACCACTGACTCTGCAACCACTGACTCTGCAACCACTAACTCTGCAACCACTAACTCTGCAACCACTAAACTGTAGCTCTGCATCCCTTAACTCTGTACCCCTGTGTTGGCCTCACCTGGCTCTGCGAAGGCGATGATCTCAGAGGGGGATTCAGAAGGTATTTGGGCCCCGGGGCCGTCCTCCTGGATCTCCACGCTGCCGTCCTCAGCCACGTGGCCGACCTGTAGCTTCCTGATGGCGTTGAGCAAGGCAGCGCGAGGCACCGGCTGCGTGAGGTTGGGTCGAGTGCTCAGGTGCAGCATGTTGAGGATGTGAAGCTTCACTGCCTCCACCATCTCTTCCTGTCCGCCTGACGAAGACGAGTTCCTCTTCATCAGAGCGCAGGAAGGACAGACCGACGCCACGTCCACCTCCGGACCTGGAGACACCTCCGGACCTGGAGACACCGTCGGAGACGCGTCAGCGAGAAGCACGAAGGCCATGAAGAAGAAGAAGACAGAAAACTGAGACGCCATGACGGGCTGCAACCCCGACAGATATCTGCAGCAGAGGAGACGATATCTGAGGCGAAGATATCAGAGGAGACGATATCTGAGGCGACGATATCAGAGGAGACGATATCTCAGGAGACGATATCTGAGGAGACGATATCAGAGGAGACGCTATCTGAGGAGACGATATCTGAGGCGACGATATCTGAGGAGACGATATCTGAGGAGATGATACCAGAGGAGACGATATCAGAGGAGATGATATCTGAGGAGACGATATCTCAGGAGACGATATCTCAGGAGACGATACCAGAGGAGACGATACCAGAGGAGACGATATCAGAGGAGACGATACCAGAGGAGACGATACCAGAGGAGACGATATCAGAGGAGACGATACCAGAGGAGACGATATCAGAGGAGACGATACCAGAGGAGACGATACCAGAGGAGACGATATCAGAGGAGACGATATCTCAGGAGACGATACCAGAGGAGACGATACCAGAGGAGACGATACCAGAGGAGACGATATCAGAGGAGACGATATCTCAGGAGACGATACCAGAGGAGACGATACCAGAGGAGACGATATCAGAGGAGACGATACCAGAGAGACGTACAGAGGAGACGATACAACCAGAGGAGACGATATCCAGAGGAGACGATACCAGAGGAGACGATACCAGAGGAGACGATATCAGAGGAGACGATATCTCAGGAGACGATACCAGAGGAGACGATACCAGAGGAGACGATATCAGAGGAGACGATATCAGAGGAGACGATACCAGAGGAGACGATACCAGAGGAGACGATACCAGAGGAGACGATACCAGAGGAGACGATATCTGAGGAGACGATATCTGAGGAGACGATACCAGAGGAGACGATATCAGAGGAGACGATATCAGAGGAGACGATACCAGAGGAGACGATACCAGAGGAGACGATATCAGAGGAGACGATATCTGCAGTCAGAGGTGAATCTCTTATGGTAGCAGAAATACAGAATCAGAGTGAAATCAGAAATCCTCCCGGACTGTCAGCAAAGCTCAAAAGGGATTTGAATCTTGTCTGAGTTGCCCGGTCTTAATGTATCTGGTCCTGATGGTCCTGATGGTCCTGATGGTCCTGATGGTCCTGATGGTCCTGATGGTCTGTTGGCTTTGGTGGTTCTGGTGTTTTCTGATGGTTCTGTTGGCTATGGTGTTTGTTGATGGTTCTGATGGTTCTGATGGTTCTGATTGTTCTGGTGGTTCTGGTGGTTCTGGTGGTTCTGGTGGAGCTAAATGAACACCGAGTGCAGGGTCACTCTACTCTCCCTCTCGCTCTGTTTCTGTAATTATACCTCTCCGCTGATCCCTCCCTCCACACACAGAGGTATTCCCTGTGATTCACACACACACACACACACACACACACACACACACACACACACACACACACACACACACACACACACACACACACACACACACACAGGAACACACACTCTGTGAGTAAAGTCTCTCAGAATATCTCAGGACTGTTTGTGGTGTTTCCTCCTGAATGAACGTCACGACAAAAGAGGAGGAGGAAGGAGGGAAGAGGAGGACGAGAGAGTGTCCCTGATTCATTCATACCACACACACACACACACACACACACACACACACACACACACACACACACACACACACACACACACACACACACACACACACACACACACACACACACACACACCAGTGACTCAGCACAGCATCATGATCGCCTCACGTGGAGGAGAAACTCTGTCGGTGTGAAATGTATTTACCCAAGACTTTGTTGTTACGATCAGAATCCTGCACACAGCAGATGGAGCACACACACACACACACACACACACACACACACACACACACACACACACACACACACACACACACACACACACACACACACACACACACACACACACACACACACACACACACACACACACACACACACACACACACACTCTGTGACATCAGCACGCCCTCTGCTGGTGGGAGGCAGGTGTTACAGCTTCCTCTTCACCTGAGCCTGTGATGACTTTGATGATGACACTGCAGGAAGTGACACAGTAGAGAAACTGATAACAATGTAGAGTTATTTAATATTTATTAATGTAGAGTTATTTAATATTTATTAATGTAGAGTTATTTAGTATTTATTTATGTAAAGTTGATTAAGATGTATTCCTGGTTGTCGATGATCCAGATTTAATCTTCAAGTCGTTTTTGTTTTTATTATTTTTGCTGTTTGTTGTCGTTCAGCAAATTTTACATCACTGTTTACTGGAGGGGTTAATCCACACACACACACACACACACACACACACACACACACACACACACACACACACACACACACACACACACACACACTCTCTCTCTCACACCTCCCCCTCCCGTCTCTCTCGGTAATCCGGTCTCTCTGCAGTCATCATGGCGGAAATCAAGACGGGGATCTTCGCGAAGAACGTGCAGAAACGGCTGAACCGCGCGCAGGAGAAGGTGAGGGGGACCGGGAGAAAGGGGGGAGAAACGGGAGGACCGGGAGGAACGGGAGGACCGGGAGGAACCGGGGGGTTAGGGGGATGGAGAGACAGATGGATGCGCTGCGGGCCTCCTCTCTCTCTGCTCATATATGTTAGGGCTATATTATATATATTATACTATATTATATTATATATTTCATCGACATCTCTGCTGTTCATTAACATCGGATCCATACCGAGAGCCTGACGTCACGATACGTTCATTTCACCTCCGTAAAAACCGTTAAATCATCATAAACTGACGGAGCGTTGTGATTGGCTGAACAGACCGACCTCTTCAGTAACACCTCGTGATGACGTCATGCGGATGAATGATCAAATGTATATAAAGATATTCTGAGTTTATATTTAAATAAATGACGCGCTCCTGAGCCAAGGTGGGGGGGGGGGGCGTGATGACGTCAGACACCTGATAGCTGAGAGTATCAGTGTGTTGTCGTTATATACTATATTATTATTACATTACATTACATTATTACACATTATATGCTGCTGAGTCATGATCTAATATATTATATTATATATTATATTATTACATTATATTATAGATGATCTTATTACACAATTTATGATATACTGCTGAGTCATGATCTAATATATTATATTTAAGCAATGGCTCACGACAGGCCGTGGTATATGCTCATTATATCACAGCTAAGGGGCGTCGAAGTGAGGGCTATTGCTTTTATAAAACGGTTACCAAGTGTGGTAATATGAAAGAAAAATACACACTCTAATTTAAATAGTTTTTATTAGTAAATAATGATGTTCAAAATAAAATTGCCTTCTGCACGAAACATAGTGCGAGGTGGTTGCTATGCAACAACACTAACAGCTAGCGAACATATTAAACAGAGAGCGTTGATCCATTATTTGGCTATTTATTTACATTCATGTGTATGTTGTTGTTTATTGTGCAGCCTCTGAAAACCTGTCCAGCATCAGTAGCATGGCTTACGTGGTTACTTGTATAGGCTGAGGTTGTTCTAGGCTGTTCTTTGGCGTGGAGAGAATATTGCTCCACTTTCTCCGGTCCCAGAGATTCGGCTTCCAGTAGCTCTGGAGAGAGCTTTCTCACCTGAGGCCACTAACGGTCATCATTTCTCTGCTTTGTTTCAAGACCCGCATCAGAAAGCTTTTGAATGGTGGTACCTTTCCAGTTGGTCTACCTGCTCTTCACGTAGCTCTACATGTCGTCGTTTAGGTGCTTTCTGGAGATAGGCACTCCTCAATCCACTCCTCCATAGTGAGACCCCCCCCCCCTCAATCCACTCCTCCATAGTGAGACCCCCCCGGAGGTCCAAGTTAACCTTACATGTTTCCATCTTAAGCTTTGTTAGTTTGTTTCGTAACGGACGAAATGTAGATATATTTATAAAACGGACAAGTCAAATCAGGCAATTTGATTGGTCGATAGCGTTTTTGCGGACCTTTTTGATTACAGATTTGAAAACATTGTTGCTTGCTTTAAAAGTAGCACAATTCATGATGTCAAACATTGGGAAGTATCTAGATACCCCTGCCCTCATGCCAAAGGAACTGCACACTGAATATGTTTTGACGTTTGATGTCTATGTCTGGACCGTTGCGTAAAAAGGAGGGTTTCTGCCCCGTTACTTCTCCGCTGTTTTCTTGTCCCAGTTTCAAAAGCAAACTGCATGCAGTTTGGACAGGGAGAACACCATAGATATATATAAACACTAGATGACTCACCCGCGCTGCTGGCCAATGGAGACCGACGTTGCCACATGGGCGCCATCTTGCTACAGGCAGTGCTCTCATTCATAACATTATGGTTTACTATTTAAATAACCATAGCTTGCTCAATTTTCAACCAATTTTCAAACGGTTTGTTTTTTTATAAACATCAAAGATGTAGTTATGATACTGCATACTTATAATCATGGACTTTCATATGAAAATAACATTAAGCAGATAAAGCAATAGCTATACACACACACAAGGTATTTATATTAAATATTTGCCGGTGTATATATTTCCATTTATTTTATTATATTGTTAATATTTAAAATAAATTATAAAATTAAAATATATTTATATTTTATATATAAAAATCGGTGTCATGTTACCACTCTGTAAGCCAAGAGTTGTTAATTTAGCAATGCCTTAGCTTGAAGAACAGGGACACAACTAATGACAATAGCATATGGTGGTATATTATTTAGATATTCACACCTTTATCAGAAGAACCAAACCAACATAAAATGAGCTCACAGACAGGCCAGTTGTCTCATTTATCACAATTATTTTTGACATGAGATCTTCATATCGTCTTAGTTTTGTATTTAGTTTCTAGATTTGTAAACAAATCCAGAACCTTTGAAATACGTTACCACTTCACAGCACGGTGCGCTGAGTTCTTGTAGTCGAAAAAAGCCCAAGAATAATATAAACTGTACCCTGTGTCCTTTTGTGTCCTTCTGTAGTCCATTTACTGTTTGTCTTGTCTTACCCCGGCTGATATCTCACTAAATCCACTGTTTTAATTGTTCCCTATATTGCCCCTATGCCCTGTAAGGTGTCCTTGGGTGTTATGAAAGGCGGCCCCCCAAAATAAATGTATTATTATTAAGAAGAACAACTTGGTGTGGTGTGGAGGGGATGTACTGTAGGAAGCAGGGGCAGGTTGGGAGAGATGGGGCTTCAAGGTTCAAGGTTATTTTGTTTTAAATGTGTCTTGGAGATAAGGGCCAGCTGCACACAATAAAATACAGTATAACACAAAACCAATAAGACACACGGTGACACATGGCACACCAACAGTCAATCATCGTCCAGCCTCAGCTTTGGTATTCTTTCACAACCATTTTATGGGTTTATTAGACAGACTGAGCAAACATAAACATATGTGGGGAACATAGTGCTGCGTATCAGGGCTGTGAAGAAAGGAGGTAGAGAGATACAAAGTTTCATATGCTGAAGCAACAGGAAAGGTTCATTAAAGTAACATTAATGACATATGTTTAGCAGGCATGACCTTTGCTATGACAGAAATTATAATTAGGTCCTTCTTTGGGCGATTTTCCTAATGTGGTTAAAGTGCAAAACACAATAAATCATAGACGACAAGTGGGTGTAACAACTGACCAAAGTTTTTAACTACAGGCCTATTTGAAGCTGAGATGCTGCCAAGTCTTTCTTTGGCCGAGCGTGGTAGGCCCAACTGCTTAAGTTATAACACACTTATTTATTGGAGAAGGTTGTAATATATTTGGCTGAATGGCATGGTTTAAACGGGTTATATGAGACAACAACACCAAACGGACCCTAGAGATACCCGACATTTTAGTCTAAAAAGAAAGGGTCTGGTTTTAGGGTGAGAGACAGAGAGTGTAAGGACAATCGAGGAGCCAGTACCTGTGACTGAAGGTGGTGAGGCCCATCATGGAACATGAAGATTTAATAAATACATTATATACATACAATATATGATACAATACATATACATTATACGACGGCTCTGATGCTGCCCCCCCAGCAGACCGCAGCAAAGAAGAGTGCACTAGCCACAACAGACTGGTAGAAGATCTCCAGCATCTTACTGCATACGTGGAAGGATCTCAGCTTCCTCAGAAAATAGAGTCTGCTCATCCCCTTCTTGTGCACAGCGTCAGTGTTGATCCTCCAGTTCAGCCCATTGTCTAATGGCGCATTTCCACTACACGGTCGGCCTCGGCCCCGCTCGGTATGGCTAGGCCTCGTTAGGACTGGCTCACTTTATGGCGCATTTCCATTACAGTTTAGGAACTGGGGTAGTTACTATAGTAACGCAGTGTAGGCGGAGCCGTGACGTCATCTTCAATGAGAACCCCAGAAAAACAACACAGCCGTTAGCTGTTAGCACTCAGAGCTCACAGCTCCTCATATCTGTTCAGAAACTAGACAGAAGTTAAACAAGTACAAACCACAGACTGCCTGTGTCATGGAGAATACAGTCGCTGCTTTATTTATGTCTGTATAGGCCGTTGTTGTGAGTGTGGACGGTCGGAGCATATACTGCGTTAGCTTAGCCAATCTCTATTTAGAAAACACGCATTTTAAAAGGTGTTTCTCCTGCCGTCTGTCTGCAGACTTGACAAAGCATTAATTCATGGTTTTTACTAACCGGTATCAGTATGTTGTTACTTCATCATTTAGAAACGTGTATTACAATTAAATCACGGTCAAATATGTCCATCTTGTTGTAGTTGTAGCCCCCTTGCCAGCGCTCCTCTCTCTAGTTTAGCATACTCAGCCCGACTCAGCCCTGTTTGTTGGCCCCGATAGAACCACAATTTTGTCGGGCCAGAAAAGAGGTGAAAAAGTGGCCCCGGGCCGGGCCGTGACTAGGTCTAGTGGAAGCGCAACCAAAAACGGGCACGGCACGACACGGCACGCTTAAAGCGAGCTCCGCGCTGTAGTGGAAATGCGCCATAAGTGCACTCCCAGGTATTTGTAGTCCTCCACAACAGCCACATCCTCTCCCAGAATGCACAGGGGCAGAGGAGACGTCCTCACCCTCCTGAAATCAATGACCATCTCTCTGGTCTTGGCCACATTCAGAATACTCACAACATTAGGCTGAGGTTCATCTTCCGCTCTTCTAGAAGTGGTTGTGCTTCTTGTTGCTTCCGGCTAAAATAAACATAATTAAAGACATTTTGAGTGTTTAAAATGTGCTGTAATACACAACACATTATTTATTCCTAAACTTGCAGAAAGAAAAACTAAAGTGTGACATTTAATCACATATTTATATATCAATCTTATACACCTTGAATTCTTGTTGGCCAATGATACACATACCCTTTGAAGATGAGCTGGGAAGTTGAATACTGTTGGCACAACACCATCTTTAAGCCGGACAGTCTGCCCCGTCCTGTCAAAGTCCTCACAACTGAAGTGCTCACTGCAGAGCAGTGTCCTGCTAGAGGAAACAAAACCGTCCCTTCTTAG